CATCAGAGACGAATCCGAATGTTACTGCACTCCTACTTTTACCGAGGCCTTCTGTCTCAAAGGTCCTATGGATGGCAGATCTAAGATCAACAACATTGCAAAGTTAGAATGCCAACATGTTGATTTTTTATAATAAAAAACTATTGTTAAATTAAATCATCTAGATGTTTAATAAAAAATCATCTAAATGATCATTTTGTATTGCAGATTGGAACCAGATGCGGATCTCTATCAATATAATTACTCAAAACTGTGCACCTTCTTTAATAAGGCTTCTTAAGTCTCTGAGTGATGCATTCTATATAGGAGATGATATACCTATCAGCTTCAACGTGTTCGTAAAGCCGATGAGGCGACTATTAAACTTGTAGATTCATTTCAATGGCCCCTAAAGCCCTCAGAAAGAGAATCATTCAAGGAGGTCTCATTCGAGCTGCTAGCGAGAGTTGGTATCCAACATCAGATGACGACTATGGTCTACTACTTGAGGACGATATCGAAGTCTCTCCTTACTACTAATTATGGATTAAATACGATCCCTTAGCCTACCACTATGACCCTCAAGTATCCCTCCAAGAGCTCTCGTCGATCTCTCTTTACACTCCTCAATTAGTTGAAGTTGTGAAAGAGAGGCTGAAATGGAACGCAACCGAGTTCTTCAAGCAGATTCAATCGAATACTCCTTACCTTCACCAGCTACCTTGTAGTTGGGGTGCAGTGTTCTTCCCCAAGCATTAGGGAGAATTCTATGTTTACATGAACATGAGATTCACCGAAGATACCAAAGCGAACCAGTTCAAATCCCGAAGTCGATAACAAACTGTTGGGAAATAAACGAGTAACGAGTAATTTCCCTATAACCAGATTGGTAAGAATGCGAAATAAAAGCGGAAAAATAATACCCGAAATTGATAACGGTGTTCAGCCAATTATGCATACGTCTCTGGACTGCTACAGATCTTTTACTAAAGAGAGAAAATTTACATGTGTTTATAAAACACTCACTACTCACAAGAAAGCTCTCTAAACTCTTTAGTATTGAGAGAAAGAAATGATTTTAGGATGATTTTGAAGCTAAATGAGCTAGAGTATTTATAGTTGAAGCTTAAGGACTAATCTTGTAAATAAACTAAAGTATGCATGGACTAAACTATATTTTCCCCATTTTTATTTTCAACTAAATTTTCCCACTTGCACAGAAAGATCATTCTTCCAGCAACCCACCGAAAAATTGCTTAATATTCAACAATTATTTCAACAATTGTTGGCACCATCGAATTGACTTTAACAATCTTCCACTTGAAGATTGATTTTAATCTGTCTTTACACCTCGATCAATGCAGTAGTATTTATGGTATTGTTACTCTACCATGCCAACTGAAGCTGAACACAACTTCAGTTTGTCTGTAGTCACCGCCCTGTAAACCCACTTGTTATTGGGCAATTTCTCCGTGGTTGCCTTCTCCCTCAACGTCTTGGCTCCCTTCGACTCTTGTCCACTAGTCTTTGAAGGATTGTTCCTCATTTGAACATCCTCGGCAAGCCCCTGCTTCGACCCTTCTCTTAAGATGGTCTCTGAAGCCATGTTCTCTACACGAGCATGCTCGACAAACTCCTTGGACACGGACAACTCTTCTTGCACTTGGCTTCTACTCGCTTTGGCAGAAATGAACCTTATTGATCTAACTCTTAACGCCTCTTCAATCTTGGGTTCGTCATCTTCTCTGGACAAATCGATCCTGGGATCATCCATCACCTTGGATGACTCGGCTCCCCTCGGGTAATTTTGCAACACTTTTAGCATCTTAAGTCTGCACCCCCTCGTTTGCTCGACTCTTACCCTCGGCTTAGCATCTTTGACACTTGAACTTGTGCCAAGCATGCACACATCTTCCCCAGACTCTCCATCTTGTTCATCATTAAGTGGACTTTCTCAGCCACTCGAGGAACAACATTCCTCATCCTTTGACTTGCCTTCATCATGGATTCGCTTGCCACTACCCTCGGCTTTCGGCTTTGTTTTGGAAGCTTTGTTTTTCTTGACTCCAAATTCTTTGATAGACTCAGCGATTTTCAAGGCTTTAGACAAGTCCTTGACTTCCCTTCGCTCCAACACTCTCTTCACCCATGGCTTCAATCCGAACATGAAAGTGAAGAATCCATCTTCTTCAGTCAAACTTGGGACTTTGAGCATGAGTTTTCTGAATCGACTCACATACTCCTTAAGTGTCCCTTTATGCCTGAGACACCTCAACTTGGACCACGCCTCCATCCTGGCATACTGTGAGTAGACTTGCTCATTTTTCACCCTCGGCTTGGCAGCTTTATCTCTTGCTATCGCATCGGGTCCTTTCTTGTGCTCGACTGCTTTGACACCTGCAGTCTCGTCACGTTTTCTTCCGGGTTCGGCTGCTTCAACATCAACAGCATTGCCTTGTCTTGATCCTTGCTTGGCCGCATTGATTCCCTCAATCGGACCAAGTCTTTTTCCTAGCTTGGTAGCTTTAACAAATGAGGACCATCACAGAAGTAGCACTTAAGCTTTTCTTTGCTCACCTTCTTCTTTGCCCGGACTTAGCCTTGTCATTATTTCCCGATGGCATTCCTTGGCTACGAACAGTCGATGGCTCTTCTTGGCCATTCTAAGAGCTTTCTCTACCATCTCCCTGCTGCACATTTTCCTGGTCTCCCCCACTATTGCCACTATCTCTGGACATAGGCCTGGACGACACATCGCTACTTGGCTTGTCACCTGCAAGCTCAGCCAGCTTTTCGGCTACAGCTATGGCCTCTGAAAGTCTCTGGGCATCTCCTTGCTCTCCCCCGAGCATCCCCCTGGTCTAAGTCCTTTCAAGAAGGTCTTGAGCGCATCTCATTCACTCATTGCTCCCTTGCATATGAGCAGCTCCCTCTTGAGCTCATCAACTTTTTTTCTCAAAGCCATCTCTCCCACTCAAATTTAGCTTCTTTTGGATCGTTTCTGATAATTTCCGCAAACCACCGTGTATTAGAAAACCTCCGTCGACAAATTCGTATCGCCTACCAAATTTCACTATTCACGAAATTTATTATTCACGAGAATAGTAACCTCACAGAAAAATTGACAAAATTTACAACCAAAAGCTCATTATACCAGTTGTTGGGAAATAAATGAGTAACGAATAATTTCCCTATAACCAGATTAGTGAAAATGCGAAATAAAAAGCGAAAAAATAATACCCGAAATTGATAACGGAGTTCAGCCAATTATGCCTACGTCTCCGGACTGTTGCAGATCTTTTACTAAAGAGAGAAAATTTATAGGTGTTTACAAAATACTCACTACTCCCAAGAAAGCTCTCTAAGCTCTTTAGTATTGAGAGGAAGAAATGATTTTGGGATGATTTTAAAGCTAAATGAGCTAGGGTATTTATAGTTGAAGCTTAAGGACTAATCTTGTAAATACCCTAAAGTGTGTAGAGATTAAAATTCATTTTCCCCATTTTTATTTTCAACAAAATTTTCCCACTTGCACCGAAAGATCCTTCTTCCAGCAACCCACCGAAAAATTGCTTAATATTCAACAATTGTTGGCGCCATCGAATTGACTTTAACACAAACAGGTGGCAAGCTTTATGGAAGAAGTTTCTCGTTGACATGATGTACTTCAGAGGATATGTTAGCCTTTATCCCAACTTTCCGAACCAAGCTAGCTTTTCAACCAACCATAAGGAACCAGGGGCTCATATCAGTGCCAAGGACAACGTTGTTCAGCCCGATAAAGTAGATTTTGAAGTCCCATTATTGGTGGAAGATTTTAGAAACTTGTTGCCAAATCGAAATTTATCGCCGGCCTCGAAGCTACCATCACTTAACCTTTCAACCAACTTGTGTCACTCAAAGGGCTGAAGGCCGCTGGTGCCAAGTTGGGACAAGATGTATTGCGATGCAACAATGCTACAGAGATTATGACAGTGGACAATATAACAGGTCTGCCACTCCGATGCTCGAAATTCACATGATCCAACCGTTTGTCGTCTGTTATTCTTTAATTCTTTTAATCTAAAAAATCACCCCAAATGTAATAATATTTTTATCTTTGTTGATATGAACCCATAACTGACTCCGCAATAAACTGTAATTAATTGTCTTCAAAAACTGAAACCAAACCAGCATTTTCTTCCTATAAAATGAATACATCTGCAATAACTAGAACAACCAACTACTGTAAATAGCTTGAAAATCAAGAATTTGGTGAGGATTGCGTCAGTTGACAGTAAACAACATACACATTGATTTGTTTTGATCTCTTTATGAAATTTGATTCATCACCAAAATTACATGGAGATGCATATGCTAGCTTCCCTGATAAGGCCATTGTGGATGGTGGTGAGCCTTGCAAAATTTCATGGATTGAAGTAAACATTACATTTGTATTGTATAGCCCCTAAAGTTTTGTATTTTTATTTTCTTAAAGTTAACAAAATTAAATCAACCAGGAAATTTGCCTCTGTTACTATTAACCTAACCTCCTAAATAAGTTTTGCTTATCTGATAAAACAAAAGATCCAACCAAAATCCGAGTCATGTTGGCATTTAAAATGTCAAATCAGTAGTCATATGTTCCCAAAACACAGTTTAAAATCTGACAACTGTTATGTGTTAACTGATTAAAGCATAATTAAATATAAGTACACAACAAAACAGGTTTTTTAAAGTGTTAACTGATTACATAAAAAGAATATTTCGGTATCTTATCTCTTTCCAATTAAAATATAACTAATAACAGTATTTTTTTTATAAAAATAAAGTTTTATGCTTTTTATTAAATTTAATTAGTAAAATTAAAATTTTACATCTTTAATGTTAATGTTCGACTTTTATCATAAATAAATCATATAATTTAATATTTATAATAATTAATTGTAATTATATTTATATAATTTAAAAAATTTAAACCACCGCAGAGACGACAAATACCAGATTGTGTACTGTTTTTCTCTCCTCGTCTCTGTTAGTCTTCAAACATAATTTTATTAGAAAAAAACATTGTTTGCTATCTGTTTTTTTTTTTTTAATTTTGGTTTAAGATCAAGATCAACTGATCTTCAATCAATAAAGAACGAGGTATGTTTCTAACCCTAGTTTTTTCTTCTCGAAATTTGAATTTTCTTTATGGGTTGTTTTATTATTTTCATTGAAGTAATTACTTGAAGTGTAAACGTACTTTTTTCCCGTTTTCTCAGCTTTGATTTTGAAATCTAACATGGCCATTACTTGTTAAAAAGGGTATTTTTACTCTTAAATTGTAGATTTTGTCTTTGTTCAAGCATCTGAGTTTTGTTGAATGTGATCGGGAAATTTTTTTTTCCAATATGCAGATCAGTAAATTGAATGAAAAGGCTAAAGTCTTTTTCTTTTTCCCATCAGATGATAGTAACAATGCCGTCTTATTAGTTGCAGGTTTTAATTTTTGATTATCTGGGCATTCATGTTTACTTCGTAATTTGGCGGTTGTTTTATTATGTTGAAGCCATTTTCAGATTGGGATTTAGAAAAGATGCGATGGATCCGGGATTGGGAAATGGTTTGAACCCTAAAGTGGTAAAGCCTAATGGAGTTACTCTGGAGAGTTAAAACAGCATAACTAAATAGAAGGATTGATAGGCCGTTTTTAAATCTGATTTATGTCCGCTTTTATTTAAGAAAGTTCTGCTTGCATGTTCATTTCATTTTTTTTGCAGTTAATTGTACTATAAGAGTAAACTATAGTCAAACATATTGAACTATGCCTCGGATTTTAAGCAGTTGAAATTTTAATAGTCGCTTCAGGCAATGCAGTAACTAATATGGCGACTTGCTTGTTTAGTGTGTCAAGTTTTTGGATTTTATTTTTTATTGGCATTGTCTTACAAAATATATGAAATTTGTAATTGATGTCGTAGATTTATTTTCTAACAGTCTAAAATATTGCAAAAATGTTATATTAGTTTAAAGTATTGCAGATCTTCTTTTTTTTTGTAGTTTAATTCTTTTTTGTAATATACACTGAAGCTCAGCACGTCACACTGATCAAAGGTCAAGCTTAGTTGAAGACTAGAGCAACTTTGCATTGGTGTTCTTGAAGATTCCCTTTGCTCCTCAAGGTGCTTATGGGAGATAATTGTCCTCGTGGGCGTCTAACCTTCTAAATCAAGTGCAAGAGAAGATACAGTTATGGCACCATGCACCGCAGGTTAGGATTTATTAATTGTTACCTCTCACTATTAGACACTTCAAATATAAAACAAATAGATCAAATAGAGTGAAAAGCATAATCTTTTGCGACCCATTCTTGGATTTGAATTCTTTTCTTTTTGTTTGTAAATAATTTGTTTTTACCAAACTAATTGGCTTGGCAGTGGAGTTTTAGAAAACAAATGAGAGAGCCAGGCTAGTTATCGCAACAATTCTTGGAATGGTGTTAGGATTTTTTATTGGTGTTTCGTTTCCATCAGTTTCCCATTACAAGGTATGTTTGCCTTCATTAGTAATTAAGATATTTTGCAGTCAATCTTTTATCCATGATCCATATGATTTGTTTTCGCTCCCTGCAGATTCACTTACCTTCAAGCCTTAGATCAACTTTTGATGTATCCGTATCTAATGATCAAGACTTTATAGTCAGGTTTCCTGAGAGAACCACTGACAATCTACCTAAGGTTGCTGTTTGCTTACTTCCTATCACCTTTGCTCTTTTAATCTTTTGTTGTTTGGAAGGAGAAGACATTTTATTGACAGATTGTATATATTTTCCAGATTATCGGTGCTACTTTTGTTTACCACCGTTTTTGAACCATTATATTTTGTCTTAGATCAGCTTGAGTCACATTCAGCTTATCGTGTTCTTTACAAATTCCAAAGGAAAAGTTCTAATGCATGAGGGTTATTTTGCCCCTGAATCACTATCATTCTCCGTTTTGGAATTTATGTCTTGTTGGGCGCTAAACTATACATCCATGTGTCTTAATATTCTTGATTAATGGGTGTATCTTATCATGATTTTCCGTAACTCTGCAGGATCTGAAGAAGAAACCAAAGTATTTAGTGACATTTACAGTTGGTTTTGATCAGAGGGATAACATAGATAAATGTGTTAAAAAGGTCAGACAATGGGACATTCCATTTTTTTAAAAAAAAATTGATTTCCAGGGTTTTTGATGCTTATGTATTCTCACGTATGGTAGTTTTCTGAGGATTTTCAAATCATGCTTTTTCATTACGATGGGCGGACGACTGAATGGGACCAATATGAGTGGTCAAAGAATGCAATCCATGTTAGTGTAAAGAAGCAAACAAAATGGTAAGCTTTATGGCGTTTAGAATGGTGTGAAATTTCTATGTTGCTAGATCTTTTTAGTTGGAGAGATTTTTGAAGAAAGGATAAGCTTTTGCTTATTCCTTGCTTCCTTCAATTCCAGTTGCTGCCTTGCTAGATGGATGATAAGTTGCTGCAGTTCTGATATTCATGCTAATATATTTGTACATTATCAGGTGGTATGCAAAAAGGCTTTTGCATCCAGATGTTGTATCCGCTTATGAATATATTTTCATATGGGATGAAGACCTGGGAGTGGAACACTTCAATTCGGAGAGGTTTGTCCTGTAAACCATTTATGTTTTTCACTTAGTTTCAACATGTATATGTTTCTTATTTTCTCTACAAAAATTACCAGATACATACAACTGGTCAAGAAGCATGGTCTGGAGATCTCTCAACCAGGTTGGGAGCCCAATAATGGATTGACATGGCAGATGACAAAGAGAGGTGACAAAGAAGTTCACAAGTAGTCTCTCTCTCTCTCTCTCTCTCACTCTCTCTATTACTCATCCATATGAAGTCGCAATTACTTTTACGATCATAAAGGATTTTTTTTCGTGTCATCTGAATTCTGCATTTGAACTTGGTTCACAGGATTACAGAGGAGAAACCAGGCTGGTGCAGTGATCCTCATTTGCCACCATGTGTCGCGTATGCTCTCTCTCTCTCTCTATGCCACTCTTGATTTTCCCTTCAACCAGATGCCCTCTTTTCCTCTTGGTGCATTTAACATTGTTTGCTTTCTTTCAGTTTTGTGGAAATAATGGCACCTGTATTTTCTCGGGAGGCTTGGAGATGTGTGTGGCATATGATTCAGGTAAAGTATAGTTCAGAATTCCGTTCTTTAGCCAGATTGTTTACACGCCCAAGTAAATAGATAAACTTAAATCTAAAGAGAACTCTTAATTGATTGACTCTTTGTAGTTCTTAAATGAGGTAATTTAGAAGAAGAAAAAATCAGATTAAAACCAGCTCAATACCAGCACCATTTGGGATGAGTTCCTTACATTCTCAACTTCTCCAATGATGGAATTAAGAATGAAGACACGGATTAGGAGCGTAGAATACTGTTTGCTAAAAATTTACTTCATAACTTGTTACAATTCCCTGAGCTCCTTATGATACTACCAAAAATGAGATTCTTGTAGATCAGTTTGGTGCGTGGATGCTTAATTTCTTGAGCTCTTTCCTTTTGATTCTACCAAAGTGCTTAGCAAAACTTGTTCTTGTAGAATGATTTGGTGCATGGATGGGGATTGGATTTTGCTCTCAGAAGATGCGTCGAGGTTAGTGGTTTATATCTCTTTTTCTTAACATTTCCTTTTTCTTTTATTCATTCACTGCTCTACAGTGAACAATATAAGAACCTGTGGAAGTCTTTAATTGGTAAAATGCATTATAATTACCTGCTCTTTTTGGAAACTCTTCCTTGTAAAATCAGCAACACTTGAATTTATGAAGGCATCCTTGTAAAAATGTTAATTTTTTTATGAAATTTGAGCTTTTTCAACTATCTAATAACATGCCAAGTTGGCTTCTCTTAGCTCTGTGAAAAGTGAGAGCTTCATGTTTATCTCAGTCCGACCTCTTATTTTCTCTTGTACTAAATTGCCATTTTCTTCTTCCTAGCCTGCACATGAAAAAATTGGTGTGGTAGATTCACAGTGGATTATACATCAAGTAATCCCTTCTCTTGGAAAGCAGGTGAGTTCTCGTCAGCCTACTAGATACTATTGGTTTCATGCTGAATGATGTGTTAGCTTATTTCCTCGTACGTTTATGTGAATTATTAATTATATGAAGATAGGTTTTGATCTATTACTGATGACCTTTTTTATCTCTTTATCATGGCCGTCCTGATTACAATCTCATAACTATGTGTTTTATTGAATTTCAGGGCAATCCGGAAGGTGGAAAAGCTCCTTGGGAAGGGGTATGCATATTATGAATCTTGATATTTTAAAAGTTATTCTTAGATTTGAAACGTCTTGTTGTAAAAGAAGGGTTAATCCGTAAACCAACTCGGTTATTTCTTCCTTTTCCATTCACAGGTTAGAGCAAGGTGCAAAAACGAACGGTCGATGTTTCAGAAATGACTCTCGAGTGCAGACAAGGAATACTTTGCTCAGCTTGGAAAGGAGGATTAAATATTAATTTCATTGATTTCTTTTTCTGAGAGCCCTACTGAATTTCTTTCACCCCCATTTGTACATGTATATTACCTCATCTGATGTTTGCTAGGTTTCAGTTTGAGCAACAGTTTTTGCCGAAAGCGGGCTGACTCATTTCCCTGAGACACATTCTTTTGTAACATAAGATTTCTACAGCTATAGAGGGGGGGGGGATTCTTTTATATCTTCCTCTCGAGTTGCTCATGTTTCTAATTCCATTTCTATCGTGATCATATCCCCTATGTTACTTTGACTCCAGTATGAATAATGGTGATGGGCTTCCTCCATCCCCCCCCCCCCAAGAATTTCATGTATTCCGAGTGTACTCGACTTATTTGTACTCATTCAAAGGTCTCTCTCTTTGTTCATTGTCCTCATCACTTGTTTACAAGGTAACATGTGCTTTCTCTTTGCTTCGTAAATATCTATTTTTTTTCCAATGCAATCTTTTCTTTAGTTACTGCATTTGGCCTTTCTTAAACATGCAACCAAGGAGAGCTTATGAGAAATTTATAAATTTTTCTAAGAAATCGAGTCCCATGGTTTGCCAGCTTTCGTTGTATCTTATGAGATTGCAACATTATAAATCTCAAAGCTTTCGTAAGTTGGTAATTCCAAACCATTTTGTCTCATGCAACAATCTGCAGCTTAACCCCCAGACATTCACTGTTCAATTTTCAAATTGGCGTTACACTTAGGCTTAGGCCTATAAATGAACAAGAACGAGGGTATATTCGTGTTCGTTCGTTAAACTTTAACCAAACGAAGGAACACGAATAACTAAACGAACAGAATTTGTGTTCTTTCATTAAGAAATTTAGTTTGTTCATATTCGTTTATATTCGTTTGTTAAAATGAACGAACACAAACGAATGAACATAAAATTAATCGGATTTATATTTGAGAAGAGTTTCTTTCTTTTCAAATAATTTTAAGATTTATATTTTTTAATTGATTTGAGTATTTTATTTGGAATGAAAATGAAATGAATTTAAAAATATTAGAAGGTTCAACGTTAAAATTTATTAAGTCTTAATATTTCAAACGGGTCTGGAAAACATAAACGAGTGAGCATAAACAAACGAACATAAACGAATAAACATAAACAAACGAACATAAACGAATGGATTATCGAATGTTTCACGAACGTAACTAAACGAATGAGCTTTTTGTTTGTGTTCGTTCATTTAATTAAAAGAGTATAAAATAGTGTCAATATTTCATTCGTTTCATAAATAAACGAACTTCCGCCTAAAGGTTACGAACAATTCCCTGAACGTTTTGTTCGTTTACAGGCTTATTTAGGTTTAAAGTAAAAAAATCTCTAAATTATGTCTTTTCTTTAAGAGAAAATAACCTCAGTGACCAAAAATCCCATATAATATACGATTTTAACCAACTTTTTCCGGATTTGCCAAAATGACCAACAAAATCGCAATGCGATCGCTAATTCGCAACGCGATCTCCATTATCGCAAATTTGCGTTGCATTTTCGCAATGCGATAGTTGAAAATCGCGTTGCGATGGTCTACAGTATCGTTGCGATTTTCCCAATTCGCAATGCGAATAAGTAAATCGCAACGCGAATTGGGAAATTCGCAATATGAATAAGTAAATCGCAACGCGAATTGGGAAAATCGCAATGCGATACTGACTATCGCAATGCGATAATAAAAAATCGCAACGAGATACTTACTTTCGCAACGCGATACTGACTTTCGCAACGCGATAATACATAATCGCAATGCGATTTTCAAAGCGCCATTAGTATCCTGGCCAAGTATTTTATTTTTAAATTCCAAACATGAATATAAATATATTGGAACACTGAACTGTCCACAGTATATCCCGTAATCGTAACTCATAACCTAAAACCTAAAATCACAACTCAGTCCCATCTCCATCTCTCACTCTCTCACCCATCTCCGACGAAATCCGTCCCCATCTCCGGCGAAATCCGTCTATCTAAATCTCTCAGAGCCACCCTCACAATCAGAAATGGAAAATCAACCAAATCAACCAACGAGGGTTAGTTTTTTTAATTATTTTCTTTTTGAAATTTTTGCATTATTATTAGGTTTTTCATATTGAAATTGATGATAGGTTTACTGGTAATTTCAATAATAGATTAACCATTTCACTTAGATTGCTTATTAAATCAACCAAGAATCGCAACGCGAAATGCAAATCGCAACGCGATTTTAGTTTCGCGTTGCGATAGTCATTTTCGTGTTGCGATTTTCATTTTCAGAAACTATTCTTCTTCTGCAAATTGAAACTTGAATGAATTGCATTACTTCAACCAAAAAACAAAGACAAATACGAAATTCACAGTGTTGCATATTTAAGTTTGAAGAATAAACTACTACTATTTATGTTTATTATTGTTTTTGGTATATCTTCACAGTGTAGTTTTTGGTATATCTAATTTAGTATGTTTATTGTTTTTGTAGAACTTTTATTCGGCTCAATTGACCTTGAGAAATAAAGTCAGCCTGGCCAAAACAATTGCGTCGAAGCTTTCACCTGCACAAAGAAAAATGTTTGAGGATACATGCTTCGGGCCATGGCTGAAAGTACAACATCCCGGTGGAGATGCGATGTTGACACACCTGTTTCTTCAAACCATGACTAGAGATCTACCAGAGACTATACAACGTCGTGATGAAGAGATATGATTTGATTTTCCACCGGCGTATACGTGTTTTGGGCGGGAGGAGTTTTGCTTAATCACCGGTCTACGCTTCGGACACGATGATGTAGGTCGGTACACTAGACACATTACCCGCCCATCATGGCTATCCCGGGTTTTCCCTGAGCTGGAGAGGTCGAGTCTACACGTAGAAGACCTGACAAGATTTTTGAATAATAAAGATGGTTTTACTCGGATGGATGACGTCGACGTTGTCCGAGTATGCCTTCTAATTCTTTTGCATGCCGACTTTTTAGGCAGAGAGGCCAGACAACCTATTCCAAATGATCTAATCAAATTGGTAGAAGACCTAAATGCGTGGAACCTGTTTCCGTGGGGCTCGTATTTATGGAAAGCTACATGGAATAAGTTATCGTCTGCCTTGGATGATCGAAAAAGTTTGCATGGCGATGGTTCCAAATACACTTTGACAGGCTTTATTTGGGCCTTTAAGGTAAGAATTTTTATATAATGTTTCCAAAATTATAAGTAATTATTTAACAATTACTAATGTTTGTTATTATATTGTTTGTAGATTTGGATATTTGAGGCCTTTCCCGCCATGAAGACATATGCAATAAAAACTTCAAATAATATTCCCATGGCTATTTCCTGGAAGAGGAAACTAATCTTGCAATGGGAAGATTTACTATGGTATACGACAATAAATAATGTAAGTTAACATAAATACTACCATATGTTTATAAACAAGTTATTACTAGTACACATTTAACTTTGTTTAAGCTTTTATATTGTTAGGAGGCCAACACTCCTCTACAGAGGCTGACACCCACGGAAGCTGAGCTTGCCACTGATTGGTGGCAAGCTAGTAAGCATTTTTTTGATGGAACGGTTGATGAGCAGCCTCCACTTCGGGAGCCATCACCTCTACCAGAGCTATCACCTCACCTAGAGCCATCATCTGATCGACCCGGCTATACACCTCCACAACGACAGCCATCACCTATTCTTTCACATCATCGAGCCTCTTCTCCACCATCACCGCAAGATAGGCGACCGGCAAAGATGTCACGACGTTTATCTCCCTGTTCTCCACCTCAACGGGATGAGTTAGGGGAGTTACGTGATGAGGTCAATGCCTTGCGTGAGGAGGTCGGTACTTTACGCAAAGACGATGGTGCATGGCGTGTTGAGGTGTCTACATTACGCGGTGAGGTAGCCGCTCTACGTGAGATGGTAGCATCATTGCAGAATGAGGTTCATACTCTACGCAACGAGGTAAGTTTAAGATTTTTCATACTCGTAATTCATTCGGTTGCTGCCAATCTGTTTTTGTTAGTATTTGTTTTTGGTTTTGTTTTTGTCTTTTGGTTGAAGTAATGCAATCCATTCAAGTTTCAATTTGCACAAGAAGAATAGTTTACTTTCGCAACACGAAAATGACTATCGCAACGCGGAAATGGCTATCGCAATGCGAAATGAAAATCGCAACGACAAAATCGCAATGCGAAATGAAATCGCAACGACAAAATCGCAACGCGAAATGAAAATCGCAATGCGATTTGTGTTTCGCGTTGCGATTTTGTCGTTGCGATTTCATTTCGCGTTGCGATTTTGTCGTTGCGATTTTCATTTCGCATTGCGATAGCCATTTCTGCGTTGCGATAGTCATTTCGCGTTGCGATTTTAAGTTTCGTGTTGCGAAAGTAAACTATTCTTCTTCTGGAATGTTTATATATGTTGTCCTTTTAAATGTTTATATAAGTGCTTACTTCTGGAATGTTATCTGAGCATTTTGTGAACTATGATAGAATAATGATTTGGGTGAATACAATGCTAGTTTGAAACATATTTGTCTTTGTTTAATATCATGTCTGTTTATTTACTGATTTATGTATTAATTTTTTTTAGCGGCCCGATAAGGTGGATGCTTTACGTCGGGTTTTCCTTGCACGACGGAGTTCACGCATCAGACGGCGTGGACGTGCTATTACGTCTCCGTTCACCCCAATGGTGCGAAGACTCCGCAAGAAGAAGCCCGACTCACCGGTCATCCCTCAAGAGTCCCCTCCAATCGTTCAAGAGGCCCCTATTCTCCCTCAAGATTCCCCCCCCCCCACCGTTCAAGAGGCCACTGTCATCGTTGAAGAGGTCCCTCCCACCATTCCAGAGCCCGATTCACATGGGGTAATATATCGAAGTATTGAGAAACCCCCACCAGTTCCGGACATGATGGATGAGAGTTGGCTCTCGTATGAGTTACCGGCTAGTACCCTTCCGGTATCTGAAGTGGAGAGGAGACAACTACCGAAAACAATTGTGGATAATACCCTTTGGGCTAAGACCGCAGTTGATTTTTATCTACATGAGCGGAGCCAAGGGTGTTACACTGACATCAGCA